GTATATAAGAATAAGTAGACAATATAACTAGGACAAATATACACTGACTAGTTACTAGCTCCACTAGTAACATGTATCAATAATTAGAGACTTTTAATATTTACAAAATACACTGTTATTCGTTATTAGACTTTTAATTTACCGTAGCGGGAAAAGTGGTGAATGATTCTTACCCCAAATCGGTATTTGAAATATCAGTTTTTTATTGCACTCCCCTGACAGTTCTTGAATTTTCTGAATTTTTTCACAGCATAAATAAAAAATACTCGTTACATATCTCAAAATATCCCAAAAAGACCAAAATGAGCATTTTTTAATTTTTTCAACCGGTTTAGGGTTCTGGCACGGTGGCACCATCATGATCCGGCACTGGCTATGTCGCCACGGCTGCACTTCCTCTCCATCTAGCTATTTATGGCTGATTTAATCAATTATTTTTTATTCATTATAATTGGTTAAGTAATTATTATTTGATTTTATAATTACTTTCGTATTAGTTAAATTTGAACAAGCATTTTAAATTATTATTTTATTATTTAAAAAATTACTATTAACCATATTAAATATAATATTATATTTTTTATTAATACTAAATATTTTAAAGTGAATAAAATATGGGAAGATTTTTAAATAAGTTTATATATTAATTTTATTCGCTATTATTTATTTAATATCAAATTTAAGTTATCTCTAAAATATAAGTAAATAGTTGACGAAAATATTAACAATTATACACTGAGGTAAAAATAACATATTTCATACGTGTTATGTTATATTTCATTGAAATAAAATATTATGTTAAGTATTTTAGTAATTTAAGTAAAATATTTCAGTAAAAGAATAATTTTACATTTAGATTAACGTAAATTGTTATCATTAATTCATAAATTAAACTCACGGATTATCATATTTAATTAGAAATTTTAATTATTTTTTAGTTTAATTTAATTAGTTTTTAGTTAATTATCTTTTTGAAATTTAATTTTATAGATATAATAAGTTAAGTTATCTTTCAACACGGTATAGTAATTAAAAATAAAAACTATCAAAAAACAATATTTTGTTAGTTGTCAATTATAAATGAAAAATTTATTTTGAGATTTGCGGATATTAAAAATAGAATTATATATTAAAAATTTTAAAAATTATTCTATATAATTATTATATGTTTAATTTATTAGATACGAACAAATATTTTTTATATATAAAATTATGTAAATATCATAAATAAGAAAATAAGATTATTTCACTAATAACATTTGGATCGGGACAAATTTTAAAATGATCTTATCCGCATATTTATTTTTTTTTCAAATTATAAAAAGGAAAAAAGAAATCCACGTGATCAACGCATAATTTTTTTTTTCTAATTTTAAATTTCCAAAATAAGTTAAAATATTATATTTGGATTTATTACCATTTTTTCAAGAATTAATTCTCAATAACGAAATTTTTTGGTTGTTCTCGTCAATTTTTTTTTATATTTTTCCAATTTTATTATTTTTTTGGTCAATCTTGGCGGGACCCACAAAATTCACATTCGGACAGCAACAACCTTGGTAAGTTGGTATGAGCTACGAAACTGCAAGGTTTTACCTAACCATTTCCGCGTTTTAACTTTTTTACCACAAGTCAAACCTCTTTTTTTTTTTTTTTTTTTTTTACCGCGAGCGCTCAATAAAGATTGTTTGCGGGACACTACGGTGACCAAATATTTAATATTTTTCCATTGTTTGCGATCGCAATCCACAGCTCCGAATGCTGTCGTGTCAGCATCGGGAGCACCCGTTACGACCACTAAGGCGACAGTGCCGTGACTCTAAACTCAGAAGGACGAGTCGCCGAGTTTTTGAGCGGAACGTTAAAATAAACGCGGCTACTTGGAGCTAGCTATTATTAGCTAACTTCTAACTGCAAACTATGCCGCTACGATTCTTCCACTCAACACGACACACGAGTCTGTCGTATCGGCTCAAAAGAATTAAACGCTCGAGTCAAATATTCAACCCAGCTCCAATTTTTTTTTTTTTTTTTTTGCCTCCATTTCTAATTCAACACCTTTTTCAATTATTAAAAATATATATTATTATTATCGTCATTATTATTATGAATAAAGTATTGGATTTGGTACTGGGGTGAAAAAAAAAGAAAAGAAAAAAAAGGCTGGGTATTTACGATTTTGGCACAACCAGGTCAAAGAAGAAGACGAGAAATTGCATTAAAGAAAAAAGAAAATAGAAGGAAAGAAAATCTCATCACCAACAGCACAAAAAGCCTTGATTTATTTTTTATTTTATTAGTTTTTTCTTTTTCTAAGGAGGGAGTGGTTTTGTAAATCAGGAAAATTATAATTCAGCACTCGGTCTTCTCTGTATCAAAAAACTTTGTTTAGAGAATTTTTAGTAGTAGAGAAGAGTATTTTGGCTTCTCAGTTTCCTTCTACCCCCTAATAGGCGAAGTTTGATACAGAAAATTCTGGGTTTTTTTTTTTTTTTTTTTTTTTTTTTTTCTGGTAAACCATTTTGTCAGATTCTGGGAAAAACCCCACCAGGGTTTGTTCTTATCTGACGCCGATAATGATTCTTTTTTTATTATCGCAATCTGTAGTCCTATCTTGACGTAATCCATCTGTTCATCATCGGAGAAAAGCCAGTAAAAAAACAGGGAAAAAAAAAAGGAAGCACCCGTAAAATTCAACCGAACCTTTTCGGGTCAAATTTGATAGGAAACTGAAAGGTTTTCTACCATCGATTTGTTTTTTTATTCCTAGTAGTACCTGAAATCGGTTTTTGATTTATGGGTTTAATCCGAAACTGACCAGGAGAAATCGGGTTTTCAATTTTTTTTTGGGGTGTATCTTTTGAGTTTTGTTCCCTGAATCTTAAAAACGCCGACTTTCGTATATTTGGGTGCCCGGGAAATCATCTGAACTCCGATTCATCGTGCCTAGGTTCGACGTTGATCACATGAAAAACGGAGTTTCAGTTTCTGGGTATTCACTAAAAAGCGATTTCTCGATCTAAGCTGAGTCAAGAATCCGATCAAGTAACTCGGGATTTTTGCAGTCATGGCAACGAAATCGGCGTCACTCGATCACTGGAGGAATTATTTCCGCAGAGCAAACTCGGACATATTTGATATCATCAATCAGGCGATCATGGTGGCAGCTTTGGATTGCCCCAAAGAATTCAGATTGAGGAGAGATCGAATCGCTGAGACGCTTTTTACCTGCAAATTGACTCGCTGCACGGGCTGTGCCCGAGTCGAGCTGGCGGTTCCTGGAGAGGAATACGAGGATGAAACCGATAGAGGCTGCAAGAGCAGCGGCTTGGAGAGGAGCAGTGGTGATGGCGATAATGATGATGATGGTGATTATGGGTTTGAAGAAGGTGGTAGCAAAGAGAGCAAGGCTAACAGTAGCAGAGGAGATGAACTCGTCGACATGAATGTGAACCAGAATGTTAGTAACTATAGCTATGGAGAAGCCGAGGCATTGACTGATGAGATCGAAGAAGGGTCTCAGATTGTTGGGGAAGTCTTGAGGATCAAGGAGATTCTTCTCAACAGAGAGGATGAGGTTTATCTCCATTTTTACTTGAATTGACTGTTACTTAATTTGAGCAGTCCAAATTCTATGGTTTCTTTGTTGAAAATTAGATTGCTTTATTGATTGGTTTCATTTAGTATTTTGAAGAACTATTTTTCTGCCTGTGAGATTGTTATATGTCTTTTAGCTCTAAATGGTTCTTCCTTAAGGATACTTTTTTTGGCTTTTCTACTTACTAATTGCTAATTTGTTGACAAAAATGCTTTTGCAGTCTGATTCAATATTGTTTGAATCCTTGAGGAAGGTCCAGTTGATGGCTTTAAGTGTTGATACTCTTCAGGTTTGCTTGAATTCTGTCCTAGTTTTTTGAATCTTGTCTTCAAAGTTGCAGAAATTTGCAGTTGTCTAACACTCTTGATGTGGTCCTGTGTATCTTCTCACAGGCAACTCAAATTGGAAAGGCTGTTTATGGCCTAAGGAAGCATGGTTCGAAAGAGATTCGTCAACTTGCACGTAAACTCGTCCTGTATGTGTTTGTTGCATGCAGCAATTCTTTTTGTAACGCTGCTGATTACGTTGTTTCCGTTTTCAGTTAATTGAGCTTATTGCCATTTGGCTGAGCATGATAGATATATTTGAGAGAATTCATGCTGTTTTTTCTATATTTATATATTCTTGCATTAAATTTAATATTATCTTCACAATCGGCTTCGTTGATGTCAATCCACCCGATGTTTGTACATTCTAGTCAAATAAGAAAGCAATTCAATTTGATAACGCAGATATGTTATGTCCTTTAATAGTTTGTTTTTCTTGATGTCAGTTAAACCTAAGTCTGCCATTCATGTGTCTTTATCTTTAGAATGCATCAAAGTCTCCCACTTGTAGAAATAGAATGCATAATTTCATCTCTTCTCATCCTGCCTTTCTTGTTTAACTACTTGCCAATTTATTAGTTGGTTTAGTCCTTTAAAACTCTTTTGCTCTTCTTAGACAACTGCACTGCTAGTATTTTATAGACAAATGAACATGCATAACCTATCTCATATTTACTGCATGAGCTATGAAAAGAAATGCTCATCCTTTCTCGGTAGTGAAGTTAATTGGTTGTTTCATTGATCTGCTGGGCTATGCTTGTGAAGTGATCTGGAAAGTTGACTTTCAAAATGAAACGCAGTCTTGTTCAGTATCAATATTTCTAGCTTTCTTTGGATGCAATCTAACTCTGGTTTCTGATATCAGGGAGTGGAAATACTTGGTAGATGAGTGGGTTAATTCTACAAAGCATATTTCACAAGGTAAAAGCTTGTTTTTCATATACTTTTCTTCTGTCCAAATTTATTTTGAAATTAGTTTCTGGGATGAATCTTTTATCACCTAGATCGATTCTTTCCATTATTTGTTCTCTCATTTGCATTTAATCCCCTTTTGACCAACATATAAGAAGATGACACGTTGGACAACTGCACTTACTCTTGATTTTTATAGGTGCAGAAGGTACTCCTGATTCAGTGAATCCTTCTGTTGTCGATGAAGAAGAAGAAGAAGAAGGGCTTCCATCCCCTCCTCTAGATGAAGGAGCTTTCTTTGCCACTCCGACAACAGGAATGGAGCTCTCGCAGGTTTTTATTTCTTTCATCACTTTATTTTAGTTTTTCATATTGCGTTGCAGCTAGAGACTGAACAGATTTTATTTCTTTGCTCCTGCTTCATCCCATGAAGTTCTTTGAGGGCATGGACGATGATGGAAGTGAGTTGAATTGCTATCTTTTATGATTCCCTTAGATAGCATTTTCATTCGGTTCTTAACTCGAATTCCCCATAGATTTGTAATATAATGAATGGGGACTGTTGTTTCAGATCCTCAGAATGGTGGGGAATTCTTGGAGAACCGTGAAAATGAAAGAAAACCTTCACAAGAGAGGCCAAAAGTGGTAGAGCCGAAACGACAGACTCCTAGAGAAGCAAATCTAGTTCCAAAGGACAACAGAAGTCAACAAATGAAAAGACAAGAAGCACCTGTAAAGCCTAATAACAACAAGCCTTTGACCACTAATGCTGCACCAAGAAGACCTCCGAGACAAAGTATCGAACAGAAGGTAGATACTGAGTTGAAGTTTCAGCAAAAGCCTAACAAGGTATCACCTCAAAAGAAGCCTCTGAATGGTCAGAAAGATGTGAGTAAAAACGTATCTATGGCTTTTAATTTTCATTGGTGAGTATGTTTATGACCTCTGATCACTCTTCTTTCAGAAACTCAAGTGTTCCGATGAAGATGCTGTTCGAGAGAAACTTGAAGTTACAAAGAGGAAACTTCAAGAGCGGTATCAGGAAGCTGAGAATGGTTCGTCTCTTCTGTTTTAAACTTGTTGTTATACATTCTTATTTTGATGCAAACATATTTCAGGGCATTTCGTATTAAAAACTCGTGAACAAAAAAGTGTAGTTTGTGTTCTAAATTTATCAAATGGTGCAAAAATTTAGAACACCCTAACTTGAATTAATAAAGCTCTATTAATTCTTTATTCAACAGCCAAGAGGCAGCGGACTGTTCAGATAATGCAACTGGAGGACCTCCCTAAGCAGGGACTGGGCCACAAAAATCCACACTTCAGGCAGGGCAACCACAACCGGCATTGGGGAAACGGAAGGCGATAGGTCCTGCAGAAGGGGAGACTGGATTGAATTGCCTTCCAAGTTTCACTTTCCCAGCTGGTTGTCAATAACTCTCAGGTGTATACGATGACACCTTTGACACAATTGAGCTTCAAAAAAATAAAACTTTTTGATTGCCCCAGAAGACCATCTTAAAATTTAAGATGGAAAAGAAAAAAACACAGGAGAAAAAAGAAAAAAAAAAAAAAAATTTGATAATTTCTGGTTCTGCATTTCGGAAAAACATTGAAGCATAGGGACCTTTTGGTTTTCTTTAGCTGTTGGGTAGAAAATAGGGGGGTGGATCCTGGCTTATGGATCAGAATTTAGTGAATCAGAGTAATTGGAAGTAGAGATAGAGGAATGCCTGATTAATTTATGCCCCACCCATTTTGCCAAACAATGCCTAACATTTATTGGTTTTTCCCCTCTTGTTTAAGTCAAACACATAAGCAGAGAACACCCCCCCGCCCCCCCCCCCCACCTCTTTGATCTTTGGTATAGATGACTGCACAGGGACAGAGACTTCCGACTTATAATGTAAGTATGAATGTAAAAAAAAAAAAAAGTATTTGCAGGAAATAATGTTCTTCTCTGAGATCCTATTTCTCATTACTTTATTTACTCCTCCTTTCCATTTTCCCCATGCAGCTTATATAATTAGATTATTATTTTTTTAAAATAAAAAAAAAACATTTTTATTTTTTTAAATAGAAAATTAAATTTATAATTTAAAATAAAATAATTAACAAATACAGTGAGTGCAATAAGATCTGGAACTCACGAAATGCTTTGCAAGTGATGGATGACGTGGCAAAAGAAAAAATTAATTTAAAATAAAATTAAAGCTACTTTGGGACGTGTGACGGATGGATGGCAGTTGACAATGGCGATAAGTGTTGGATTTTTTTTTTTTTTTAATTAATAATTTTTTAAAAGTAATTTATTAATGAAACAAATAAATAATTAATGTTTTGAAATAAATAAATAAATAAATTCAGAGCTTATTTTACGAATATTTTATTAAAATAATGTAGATAATTTAAATTAAATATTAATAAATTTGTTAATATTTTTAAATAGGAATAAGGATAAAATTTGTTAATATTTAATGTTCAAGTTCAGAAATTAAATTAATTCTCAACATTTCTTATTCAATACTCTTGGATTAAAAAGATATACATATATAATTTGATAAGAGTATATAATTTATCATCTACCCATATTTATTAAGCTGTAGTATTACACCTTTCCGTTAAAGAGAAAAATAATTAACAACTAATCCAAATCATTAAACTTCCTAATTATAATCCCAAATTTTCAATTCGGTTGACCTTATCCGCCATCTATTACTTTACTATACACCACTAATGTTATAAATTAAGAAAATTAAATATCGTATAGTCGAGATTGAGTTTCTTTAATTAATTAATTAATTAAAATTATTACAAATATTTTTTTTATGTATTCTTGTTTTTTAATGGTTAAGATATAAAATAATTTAAGTGGGTTTAGTTTGGAAAAAGCAACCCTCTTTTTCTCGATTGTCGTCGAACGATAATACAAGATTAGGAATTAAAATATGTATTATTGTACCCATTAAAAAGTTGACATGTATATATATATATATAATGCTTCCTTGTCGGCATGGTATTTAAATAAATTATTATTACTTTCCGCAGTCCTATTTGACCAGAGGTTTTTCCGTAAACGATGCCGTATCAATTTACATACGTAATTCCCTCTTAAAATAGTTGCGTGCGTCTTAAAAAAAAAAAAGAACCCAAACCATGCCGTATCAATCTACATACGTAGTTCCCTCTTAAAATAGTTGCGTACGTGCCTTAAAAAAACAACCTAAACGATGCCGTATTAATTTACATACGTAATTCCCTCTTAAAATAGTTGCGCGAGTCTTAAAAAAAAAAGAACCTAAACGATGCCGTATTAATTTACATACGTAGTTCCCTCTTAAAATAGTTGCGTACGTGCCTTAAAAAAAACAACCTAAACGATGCCGTATTAATTTACATACGTAATTCCCTCTTAAAATAGTTGCGTGCGTCTTAAAAAACAAAGGAACCTAAACGATGCCGTATCAATTTACATACGTAGTTCCCTCTTAAAGTTGCGCACGTGCCTTAAAAAAACAACCTAAACGATGCCGTATTAATTTACATATGCAAGTCCCTCTAAAATAGTTGCGTACATGTTTTAAAAACAACCTAAATGATTGTAGAGATTCAAGTAATTTCATAAGTGTATTAATGATATGCATAAATATATCATTAGAGAGCAAAATTAGAAAAAGGACGAACAATTCATACTAAGAAATAAATTAAATAATCAAAATGAAATTTTAAAAATAATTATAAAAGATATATTATAATAAATAATTATACAATGTATTATTTTAAAATATTTAAAATTTCCTCATATAAATGGATTAATTAAATTTAAATAGTATAAAATAGATTTATTTATTTATGATTTTATCCTCAGCGCATGACATCACGTGTAACTTATGCGACGGACGGACGGGCGAAGGTGACAAAATGAGTCGTTGCGTCAAGCTGAGGTTAGAAATGACGTAATACAGAACTTGACCATTCTCACTCGTGAAAACTGGCGTGTAGGGCCCAAGGTGTGCCTACCACATGTTACATGTTTTACTCTACATACGCATAGGTCTATTTCCTTTGGTTTTGTATTTAATTTTTAATTATTTTAACTAAATAAGACTCTATGCGCATGTCGTCTTCGTTCACGCGATCAATCGCTTGCTATCGAAGGATTGACATATTCGGATCTAATAAATTTGTCGCAAATGGAATAAAATATATTGACTGATTTGTGCGAATGTTGGTTTCTTTCTATCGATAGATCTTCATTATCGTTCTCAAATATTGAATGATATCCAATAGTTTTTCAGTAATAATATATAAATGTCTCTTGTCTCAAAATATGCATGATGATCTCTCATTTTTTTTTATTTTTTTTTTCTTATGCTAAAAAAGAAAATTGAATGTTGGTGTGAACATTAACTTTTAATTTTTTTAACTTATAATAATTATTTTAACTAAATAAGATTTTAATGCGCATGTGGTCTTTATCAGTACGACCAAACATTTGTTACATTATAACTGACAAATTCAGATCTAATATTTCTATCGCGAACGAAATAAATGTGTTGAGTGATGGACGAATGCTGATTTTTCTCTGTCGGTGGGTCATGTCAAATTCTCTATTCTGACATGTTTAAGTGTCGAATGATTTTCTAACAGTTCTTCACTGATAATATTACGGGTGTCTTTTGATTCAGAACGTATGTAATGATCTTTTATTTTCTTTTTAATAATTTTTCTTGTCCCGAAAAGAAAAAAAAAATTAATAAAAAAGCTTCGCTCAAAAAACACTAATGTGGTTAAAAAAAAAATGCGGTTGAAAGGTGGGTTTTAGAACCCATTCATTCATACGGCGAGGAGTCTCCTCCTCCCTTGGCCCGTCTTACAACTCCACCGGCGAAGATCTTCCTTTCTCCTGTCATCGTTGCGCCCCAGGTCGTCCTCGTGCTGCCTCCTTCATATGCATCCGTACTCATGATGTATACATATATATAGAGATAGAGAAAGAAATCTATACACGTTATATATATATATATATATATATATATAGAGAGAGAGAGAGAGAGAGAGAGAAAAGTGAGACGGGTCTATCTGTGGAAAACTAAATTACTCGTTTATAGGTTGTTGTTGACTAAGCTTGGTAGATTAGTGGAGAACGGACCACAATTCTCAAATACTTCTCACTAAAAAAATCAGCATCTCCAAATCCTCAAGTGGAAAAATCCCAAATTGTTGTGATCCTCCGTTCTCTTCCTCTTGTATTATTGGGTTAATATCCTTTTGATTTGTTTTTGGGTTCTTTCTCTCTAAATTCTGAAAAAGGGTATTTATAATATATATATATATATGTATATATATAAAGCAATAAGGAAATCCCACCAAAACAAAAGCACTTTTCATGCTTCTTATCTAATAACCCAATAATACAAAAGAACTTAAAACACCCTTTTTCCAATTCATCTTACTTTTATATTATCTGAATTTAGTTCTCCCACAAATTTTTTTTTTTTCTCAATTATTTGGCAACTTATATTCTTCTTCAATTTAATTAAACTCGTTTAATATTTGTAATATTCTTAACCTAATTTAGTATTTCTATAAAAGATAGTGAAATTTAGGGTTCTTATCCATTGCTATGTGAATTCCAAATAGTGGTGGGTTGCTTTATTAGTAGTCTTTTAGGTGTCAAAATTTAGGGATTTTTTGAGGGGAAAAAAAAAGGGTAACCCACTTCCATAAATATACACACAACACAATTATTTGAGGTGTGTTTGCTTTCCGTCCACATCTCACCCATTGACCCTCTTGTGCTTTTGCTTTTATTTGCCATCTAATAGAAACAGCCAAACACAACCTATTAAAAAATGGTTCCCTTAGGAAATTCAACAAACATATACATATACCCATACACCAATTATGAGAACACCGAGTACAATGAATCTGAGATATTTTGTTCAAAATAATAAGACTGTTTTACAATAACAATTATTTAATTATATTGGCTGCCTATCAATTATACCATTTATTATTATTATTATTATTATTAATTTATTAAATTTTGAGAATTTAATAATTTCACCAATACCCATATATTTTTTTTTATTAAGCTTTTTTTTCAATATTTTAAATAAAAGTAAATGGTTTTACATTATTATCAATATTATTAATTATATATATATATATATTACTTGACCCGAGATATACATTAATGGATTTGGTGATTAAAGAAACTAATTAAGATTACGATGAGTTGGTGATTTGAAATGATGTTTTAATCAAACATACATTAAGATTCTCATTTCTCTCAAATTCTTGGAATAATTCCATTTTCACTTTTTTAATTAAAACTTTTTGGTCCACATGCAACACAAACCCCAATCAATTAAATTATATATAAACATTGAACCAAATATATATTTTTAATAATAAATTTTAATTTTAATTTTCTATGTATCAAAACCAAACTCCTTGGTAAACAATTTAAAGATTGTATCACCCTAATTTAGTATATTGTATAATATTATTAAAAATCAAACACGATCCGTCAAGATACGAACATTTACAATTTTTATATGTGAAATATGATGAAAATCAAATCAAACTATATACAAAAAGTATAAACAACTCGAAACGTATTTAAATTCATAACGAAATGAATATTTTCATTTTGATGTGGATCTTTAAAATCGACATGTGATTTTTTAATTTTTTTTTACTGATAGGATAACAAGAAAAATAAAACTTAAAGGCAATTTGAAGATTACAACCGTCTTTTTATATCGTCAATTTTTATTATTTCTCATTATACCAATCATAAAATGAGAAACTATAAATATGTTATCTACGTATATTACAAACTAAAACTTAAGTTCGACGTATTAAATTTTACAATTATTTAATCGTAATTGATCATTTTTAAACGGGTTCAATAAATTAATAGTATATTACACGCACCAAAATTCACATTAAAATCCAACAAGATAAACTTCACTTATTTAAAATGTAAAAAGGTTAGAAAAGAGAGAGAGTGAAATTGGGACGACAATGAATTTTAACCACCACGTAATTGATACTGAATTATTGGTTCACATAGGGTTTTCGAAATTGCTCCCCACTGGAATTTTAAGGGGGCCACATATAATTTCTACCTTTTTCCGAGGCTCAATATCTTTTCCCTTTGGAATATATATATATATATATATATTAACAGTTAAAGATATTCTCGAATCCCAAATCTGAATTTTTCTACGAATAACTTTAGAAGCTGATAGAGAATGCATATTCGGTATAGTTGTACCGTACAAATTACGTTTCAAGTATTTTTTAGATTAATTATATTATTTTCTCAACAAAACTAAATTCCTTCTAATTTATTCACTTTTAATTTTAAATTAATGCATAAAAAATTAATTACGATATACCCATTTAATTTATAATAAATCTGACATTTATATTTTGTCTTACACTATCATAATTTTTTAAAACAAATTTATTTAAGCTAAGGTATATATAAAGTTCCAAGTCTTTTAATTACAATTAATCCGGAAATTAATTACAAATAGTTTCCCGAGAGTTAAAAAGGAGGTAAAAGAAAAGGGTTAGGAATTAATGTTAGAACTCTGAAAAAGAAAACTTCACTTGAATAATATATTACGTGCACGATGATAGTAATGGGTAAGGTCATTGGTCAAACGGAATGGAAGATTTGTTGACTTTTTAGTCCCTTACGATAAATTTCATGGGGCCCACAAGAGCACTTAAGTAAGTTGTGTTTTTTTTTTTTTTTTTTTTTTTTTTCTTGCCGACATGGTAGGAGTATTCTTCAGATTTTAATTTGGTCGGCTCGGGTTCGCGTATCGCACCGCCACGTGCCTTATCTGCTTTGCATCTAGCTGTATGCTTCTTCAGATTCTGTTCTCCAAAATACATGCACGGACAAGCACACGTATATGCTCACACCCGTGTACGTATATATATATATATATATGTATAGGAAAGACAGTAAAGAAACATAAAAGGTATGCAAAGTAAATATTTTTGAAAATTAGTCTATACAAAGTGTCTTCTCCGCGTGATAGATAATGACCATAAAAAAAAATTCTTAAACAAATTATCTTTGAAACTTCAGCTAATAAGAAATTCTACAGTACGAATCAAGGGAAAATACTAAGCGTGAATAAATTTTAAATCTGCCAAAACATAACTGTCGCCCCATTTCGATGATGTAAGCACTTGACCCAGGAAAATTTTGTTGGGCCCATATGAAATTAAATTGTACTACAAATGAACAAAGCCCAGAAGCCTTCCAAATTCTCCGTGTATTCCCCGAGGAAAAAAGAAATTGTTTTTGTGAATTCGAATTTCTTCCGAGAGTCCAAGAACTGAGGCAAACAAGAATCTTTTACCATTAATATTGCCAGAGGATAATTACTAACAACTTTTTTAAATAATAAAAGTAATTCATTTCTTTCAAAGATCCAGCAAGCAATTTCTTTTAATTTCTCAAATTTTAATCAAGAAAATTTCTCTCTCGTTTTCCCTCAGCCCTCTTTCAATTTTATTTCTATTCCGCCATTATCTTTTGCAAAAAGGTAATAAAAAAATGGTTTCGATCCAAACTAGGTTACAGTGCCCGGTAGGCTAAGGCAAAACAGAGGGGGGAAAGAAAAAGACAGCGTGGAATCTAGGCTAGATTTAATTATAATAACAAGCAATCAACTGCTGAAATTCTAAACAGAAGAACACCTGCTGGGTGACACTAGTAATAAAAGATATAACAAGGATATGATGAACTCAAAGCAGCTAGAATAAGATATAACTACAACCAAACATTTGATGAAATTCCACCATACTTCTTCTTCCACAGGTCGCCAATACTTAGAGATTTGGGGAGCAAAGGAACAATTTTCCTTTCACCGGCCCAAGCAGATGTTGACCTGACCCAACCATCTTAAGCAAGTACAAACTCCATAACAAATATCTTTCATTCATATATGGAACAAATAGGGGAGTATATATGATATACCATAATGCTGCAATAACGGGGCTCCACTGCTTATACTGAATATAATTTT